AGTTTCCGTCTCACAGAGCTGGGAGCAGGGATGGAAGAGGTGGGTTCTGACGCACACACCACAGTCTCACCATTCTTACCAAGCTCTGGTAGATTTCCTTGAGTAACTGTTTCTTCATTTGCTGCTTGCCTCGGGAACATTTCCTGAGATGATACATGGTTTTCCTTTTATAATTCTCACCAGTTTCACTGGGGAATGATTCCGTGGTGCTCCTCAAACTATCGTGCTGAAGTGGAACTTTGTGAGGAGAGATATTTTTATAAGTAAAAAGAACGGTTTAGAAGATTACTGGAATTAAAATCGATGTCTAAAACAATTTCATTTTATACACCAGCAACAATGACTTGAAAATATAATTTTAAACAGGTTATATTTACCAGAGCAAAAAATATACACACCAATAATAAATCTAACAGAAGATGTAAAGTTCTCCTGCAGCTAAAATTAAAACATTGTGTTGATGTATATTAAAATAATAAAACTACAATCTTAATATAGAAGACTAAAGACCATAAAGAAATCAATTCTCTCAAAATTCATTTATATTGTAATATAATTTCGACTTAAGTTCTTATGGGGATTTTCACAAAACTTGCTAATCGGATTCTATATTTGTTAGAGATTAGTAAATGAGCAAGAATAGCCAAGATAATCTTGAAGAATACGATAGGGGAAAACATCCAGATTCATTATCAAGTTTATACACATAAAAAGCATGGTACTGATGCACCATTAGAAAAACAGAGCATTGTATCATAATAGAGAGCCCTTAAGAGGATGTTTTAAAGCAGTGGTTCTCAACCTTCAGGCCCTTTAAATACAGTTCCTCATGTTGTGACCCAACCATAAAATTATTTTCGTTGCTACTTCATAACTGTAATGTTGCTACTGTGATGAATCGTAATGTAAATATCTGATAGGCAGGATGGTCTTAGGCGACCCCTGTGAAAAGGTCGTTCGACTGCCAAAGGGGTCGCGACCCACAGGTTGAGAACCACTTTTTTAAAGGAACAAACCAGAACTTCGTAGAAGATATTTGTGGCATGTAGATTTAAAAAGAAGTATTTTAAATACACGAATTTTAAATGTGATATATGATGATTTTTATGTGTATGGAGGTTTTATGTTAATGACAGCTTTATTTGGTCTAATAAAATAACAACACATTTATTCATAAATATAAGCACCAACCAAAAAATGATTTTTTAAAAAACTGTTTTTATTGATTTTTAGAGAGAGAGGAAGGGAGAGGGGGAGAGAGAGGGAGAGAGAGAGAGAGAGAGAAACAGGTGTTAGCTGTTTTCTGCACACCCCCTACTGGGGATTGAGCCTGAAACCAGGATATGTGCCCTGACTGGAAATGGAACCGGTGACCTTTTGGTGCATGGGACGACACCCAACCAACTGAGCCACACTGGCCAGGGGAAATAATTTTTTTGTTGTTGTTGTTAATCCTCACCTGAGGATATTTTCCCATTGATTTTTAGAGAGTGTAAGAGAGGAAGAAACAGAGAGAGCTATTGTTGTGAGAGAGACACATTGATTGGTTGCCTCGCGGCACATAACCTAGCCATGACCGGGGATTGAGCCTGCAACCGAGGTGCATGTCCTTGACCCGAATCAAACCTGGATCCCTTCAGTCTGCGGGGCCCATGCTCTATCCACTGAGCCAAACCAGCTAGAGTCAAAATGATTTTTTAAAAATATTTTATTTATTTTTTATTTTTTGTATATTTTTATTGATTTCAGAAAGGAAGGGAGAGAAAGATAGAAACCTCAATGATGAGAAAGAATCATTGATAGGCTGCCTCCTACACAACCCCTACTGGGGATCAAGCCCACAACCTGGGCATGTGCCCTGACTGGAAGCAAACTCAGGACCCTTTGTTCCACAGGCTGATGCCCTATCCACTGAGCCAAACTGGCTAGGGCCAAAATGACTTTTTTTTAAAGTGAGTTGGCAAGTAGGAAATTGACCTTGCTTGGGAGTAGCAGGTTAAAATTTAGTAAAAATGACTCATGGACTGCCTTTAAGCAGTCAATAATTTTCTGTATGTAGGCGGACAAATGCCAGGAGTAGTAAGATATATGGGTCTGAGCTTAGTGTCAGAACCACCAACATTTTTTCTATGCAATAAAGGATAGGCCTTTGGCTTTGCAAGAATCATATTCCTGCTGCATTTTCTAAATGTTTGTTATAGATTATTTTAGAGAGAGAATATATAAAGATGGTTTCTTACATAAATAATGTCAACCACAAAAGGGGAAAGGCCTCCTTGTAATTTTATTAATTGCATCTTGAAGAACAATTCCCATATTCTGTTTTGAACTATGGTGTATGAAACCATCTACAAATGGTCCTCGCACTAATTAACCATAGTCAGACTTGTCACACACTTTCTGAAAATTTCACACAGCTGTACATTCTATATCGGGTTGTGAGATAATGCTCTCCTGCTTTTAGTTTAGTGGTACTTCCTTCTAGCCCAGGGGTGGGCAAACTTTTTGACTCGAGGGCCACAATGGGTTCTTAAACTGGACCGGAGGACCGGAACAAAAGCATGGATGGAGTGTTTGTGTGAACTAATATAAATTCAAAGTAAACATCATTACATAAAAGGGTACGGTCTTTTTTTTTTTAGTTTTATTCATTTCAAACGGGCCGGATTCAGCCTGCGGGCCATAGTTTGCCCACGGCTGTTCTAGGCCATGGAAATGAGGACCACTGGGTCGTTGGCTATATCACTGTTTAACTCCATTAGAGACATTGTAGGGGTTTTTGGCTCTTAAAATTAGTAGACAATGAAGCACAACCAGAAGAAATTTAGGGAAAAAAAAGTTAACTAAGAATGTCTTTTTCTGTCTGACTGCTTAATAGTAAGGCAATATAGGCCTGCTTATACCTTAAACCAGGGATGGGGAACATCCGGCCTGTGGGCCATATAAGGCCTGTGAAATCATTTGGTCTGGCCCTGCCAAGGCGTTAGAGGTGAGTTAATGAAATGCTTGACCAAATATAGCAGGCTAATTTTTAAGTTGAGAATTTGGATTTTGTGTGGCCCGCAAATGATATTGTAAACGTCCAAATGGCCCTTGGCAGCAAAAAGGTTCCCCACCCCTGCTACACAAAGAAAAAATAAATATAATTAATGCATCTGTTTTAGGGAATGGCTATCATTTTTTGGAATCTGGTTATAGAACTATATGGTACAAAAGATTTAATACAGTTACTTGAAGTCATTTGCATAGACTATCTGTAAACATTTGCATAGACTATCTGTAAACAATACGACACTGATGACCAGAAGTTAGACAGCAATAGTTTGGAATCCCTGCCTTAATATGCAACAATGAGGTAGACAAATGTTTCCAAAGTTGCCAATATTTGAAAAGAAATTCCAACTGAAATCATCATTTTGCCCAGAAAACATTGCACACATTTACCAAAATTATGTTCATTTGCTTTTGGCGGGAAAACCAGTCTGAGATAATTAATATTTCTAAATTGAATAGATAGTTCTTTCATTAATCAAATGAAAAAATATATTAATAATTAATATATGTAATATGATTATAGTTCATGAGACAGGGATGAAGATAAGAAAAAGTATCCCTTGGGGGGTGAACTTTTGAGAACTGTAGGGCCAATTCCTACTCACTGATCAGCTTTACTTTGATAAAGCATCATTTTGCTGCTAGGTATGTATTTCCTTCATTTGATCTTTAAATGTTGCCTAAATGTCCTTAAGTGTTGACTCAGATAACCAATATGAATCTCCAGATAGTTCATTGATACACGTGAAATGGAACACTTTTCCCTATGACTTTTCATTTTATTCTTACCTGTGTAATCACTGCAGGTCTTCTCTACAAATTTTTAATGCATGTGGCCTATCCCCTCCAATTGGCAGTACATAGGACTTTACCACGTTAGTATAAATGCTCTAGAGCAGTGGTTCTCAACCTTCCTAATGCCACGACCCTTTAATACAGATCCTTATGTTGTGGTGAACCCCAACCATAAAATTATTTTCGTTGCTACTTCGTAACTGTAATTTTGCTACTGTTATGAATCGTTATATAAATATCTGATATGCAGGATATATTTTCAATGTTACAAATTGAACATAATTAAAGCATAGTGATTAATCACAAAAACAATATGTAATTATATATGCGTTTTCTGATGGTCTTAAGCGACCCTTGTGAAAGGTTCGTTCAACCCCCAAAGGAGTCGCGACCCACAGGTTGAGAACCCCTGTTCTAGAGCGGGTACAACCTCTTAGTTACCTGTAGAGTCAACAAATTGCATTGTTTTATATGTCATAGTGTCATGTAGTCTATCTTTTAACCCAGAGCTTCTCAAACATGTCTTTCAACTGTGGTGAGATTCTGTCCCACGAATTTTGCATGATCAGGATAAGTGAGAGAAAATTAAGCTTATTGTGGGACTTGGGATAATTTGGGTCTTCTGCAAGGACACTTTTTCTTAAATAAAAAACATAGTTTGCATTTACAAGATGATGATAAAACTTCATTAATTTATCATGGGGCCATATTCTTTGGACTTGTTTGGGTATGGATGTTGTGGTCCACACCAGTTGGGAAAATGGGAAGAGGACAGGCTGGTATGACTCAGTGGATTGAGCATCTTTCCATGGACCAGGAGGTCCCAGGTTTGATTCCTGGTCAGGGCACATGCCCGGGTTGTGGGCTTGATCCCCAGAAAGGAGCATACAGGAGTCAACTGATTGATGTATCACTCTCATCGATGTTTCTCTCTCTCTTCTCTCCCTCTCCTTTCCTCTCTATCTAAAAATCAATTTATAAAAACATATTTAAAAAAAAATTGGAAGAGGAGAAGGGCAAAGAGCCTGAGTGGCCCAGTGGAGTCGGGTGGCTTTGAGGCTCACAGAGAATCTAGGAACTAGAAAAACAAGTGTTGCTTGGGCAGCCATTTTTGAAATGATGCACGCAATTGTGATTTTCACCTTTTCCAGATAATTCCCTCAGCATTTTGGCCAAGCATAATGGATTCAACCGTCAGAAGCAGGAAGTCTACCTTTTGCCAATCGTCATCAGTGACAGCGGGAACCCTCCTCTGAGCAGCACCAGCACGCTGACCATCCGGGTCTGTGGCTGCAGCAGTGATGGTGTTGTCCAGTCCTGTAATGTGGAAGCTTACGTCCTTCCGATTGGACTCAGTATGGGCGCCCTAATTGCTATATTGGCATGCATCATTTTGCTGCTAGGTATGTATTTCCTTCATAGCCTCATGGTTTCCATTTTTCTGATTCATCAATGACTGTACATAAGGACAGCAAACCCTGACCAAGCCAGGCATGCTTTTGGAAAGAAGAACTCTTTTGGACTTCTCCTAGCTCTGAGATCACTAAGAGGAGGTGAGGAGAAAAATGGTTATGATGGTAAATGTTGGAACCTAGCCAGTTTGCCCTGGTCCAGACATGTGGGAGGCAACCAATTTATATGTCTCTCTTACATCAATGTTTCTCTCTCTCTCCCTTGCACTCTCTCTAAAACTCGATGGTGAAAAAAAAAAATAGTAAATGTCCAATTGGAGATGACTATTCCGTGCCTTTGTCAGTGCCATCACCAGTGAAAATATAGACTAAGGTGGATGGTGGGGGAAGTGGGGATGGGCCTTATGTGGTTACAACAGCATCTATTATAAAGAAGACCTCCAGATCTGATGCACACCCGCTGGCTGCAATAAATATGTGTCCAAAACTCTCTTTTATTCAAACAGTTTATGGATTGGGTTGCTGAGTCCATCTGATCACAAAGTTTGGTGAGATAAAAAGAAAAAAAAATAAGCAAACAAAAAGTATAATATATTTTTTTCTTCAAGATTACATTGACTTCCTGAGATGTTTTTCTTGATATTAAAATCAAATAGCATTCTCTCAAAATTGAGAGCTCATCCTTCATAAAGGTATTTTGCTTAATTCTCACGGCAATGATATCAAAGCAATAGACTCATAAGTTTTAGAATAATGACCCCCCCTCTGAACCTACAAGGTGTGTGTGTTGCTCATACGACTAAATGCGAGTCGACTAACTGTTCTTTCATGTTTGTTTTTCCTACAGTCATCGTGGTGCTGTTTGTCACTCTGCGGCGACATAAAAATGAGCCATTAATTATCAAAGATGATGAAGATGTACGAGAAAACATCATTCGCTACGACGACGAAGGAGGCGGGGAGGAAGACACGGAGGCCTTTGACATCGCCACTTTACAAAACCCGGATGGAATTAATGGATTTTTACCCCGTAAGGATATTAAACCAGATTTGCAGTTTATGCCAAGGCAAGGGCTGGCTCCAGTTCCCAATGGTGTTGACGTGGATGAATTTATAAATGTGCGGCTCCACGAGGCAGATAACGACCCCACGGCCCCGCCCTATGACTCCATTCAGATTTATGGCTATGAAGGCCGGGGGTCAGTGGCGGGCTCCCTCAGCTCCTTGGAGTCCACCACCTCAGACTCAGACCAGAATTTTGACTACCTCAGTGACTGGGGTCCCCGCTTTAAGAGACTGGGTGAACTTTACTCTGTTGGTGAAAGTGACAAAGAAACTTGACAGTGGATGACCAATAAACCCATGGAACTGAGCATTCTGTAATATTCTAGGGCCACTCCCTTTAGATACAGCCAATGTGGCTATTTGTTTTAGAGGCAAGTGTAGCACCAATCATCTATAAACTCAACTACATTTTAATGTTGAACCAAAAAAAAATGGATAATAAAAAGTCTATGTTAGGAGGTGATAAATCTTGTGGAGTGTGAATTAAACTATGTGGAGTGTCTAGAAGTCGTTGGATAGTTGCTATGTATGTGACCACACAGACAAAGATGGGGATCCTGGCTCATGCTTAGGGAAAAAACATAGTTTTCAAAGAGGAAAAAAATCAAAATTAAAAGGTGCTTTCTTAGACAAAATGGACCTGCAAGGAATTTGCTGCTGAGATGTGTCTTCTGCAAGGATTTTTATAAATGCGAATGGTTTTTTTCCCCTTCACCAATAAGGATCCCGCCACACACGATAAAGCAATACTCGGTCGGCTGTACATTCTGACTTTTGGGAGTTTGGGAAGGCCTCCTAAGATTACATGGTACAGTGACCACACATTGTACATAATGGTTGGCCCCACTCATCAGAGACGGAATAGCATCTTTAAATATTGTGTCGAGCCTTAAAATAGTCACATGTTCCTAATCCATTCCAAGGTGGGGTCTGCCAACGCAGTGGTGGGAGGAGAGAAATCCCACGGAACAGGCTTGTTTTTAAGAAGCAGGATTACTCCTTCCCTCCACTTCATCTTGTTCCACAAGGACACAAAGATAGACTATGTCACGCAGTGGACAACGTCAGAGACAGATGGTTTTATTTGTTTAATCCTCAAAATAAATATTTTATTGATGTCCATTAATGCGTTTATTTATTAAGGTTGGTAACCTATAGATGAAGGGACTATATGGAGAAAAAAAAGATAAATTATATCCATTAATAATCCTTTAGATTGTTTTATATAAATATATATATATATATATACACACACACAATGAATGTTTAATACATGTACATTTTGATGAGATGAGTATGGCAGGCAATATTCTGACCAGGGAGCGAATAATCTCTTTAGTGTAGAAAGTGTTATTGTGACTGGTGATGGCAGGAACAGCATTTTCCCAGAGAAACTTTTGGACTGTTTTCTATTTTGTTCATACTCCTAGTATTTGGTGTTTTTACTACAAGCACAAACATCTGAAAGTATATTGATCCGTGTGAATATTTAAACTCTAGACTTTTAGATACCTACATAACGCCCTGCCCAACAGACATGCTTCAAGTCACCCCACAATGTTTTAGAGCAGGAACTGATTTGTACATAATTTTACTGCTTCTGTTTTCAGCACTTCTCTCCCCGATCCTCATGGTGAGACACAGAACATCTTAGAGTCCAAAAGAGAACAGCCCTAGCAGATGTGAGCATATTCAATTTGTAATACCAACCTGACATTTAGGAGTAGAGAAATGTATGATACAACCGAACTACTATGACATGCAGATCATTTTAATTTTCTACTTTGCTTTAATGCAATATTGTTTATTTACTCCATGTATTGTATTCAGAGAAACTCCTGTATTGTTTCCTACTTTGTGAAATATATTTTTATAAATACCTTTGTTGTCTTCACTTTTCTTTTCCCCAATCAGATGAAGACCTACTACGAGAGTCTAACTAGAATTCTAGAACATTCAACTAAATTATTGCAAGAATCACCTTTATTTGTAAGAGCTTTTATATAAAGAACCAAGGATGTGAAATGGCTTGATCACACCATCTCAGGCACTGGCTTGGGCTGCCTGAAAAGAACATGACTTTGGCTAGAAAACTGAAGGTACCAATTTTTGGAGGCTACTTCTACTATGATAGAAACAAAATATTTAAATATGATACTTAGAATTGACAACTCTCCAGTGACTTAAATGAGGCCTTACTGAGTTTTTGTTGCCTGAGATTCATCCATAGTTTGTCCTTTATGTGTATCATGATAGCTGTTGAATGTGTTTTTGGAGGTCAAAGCGATTGCCCCAAATGTTTTCAAAATACACTAGGATTTGGAACAATGTCTGAAACAAATATTTGGTGAGTGTAAATTATTAATAGTAGTATTAGTAATAATATTCACTGATAATATTCTGACTACCTTACACATTCTAAACCAAGGTAAGATGATTACTTTATTTATCTCTTGCATACCAGACTCATTTCTAGTATATTTCTCAGTGAAGTGCCATAAAGTACAGATTTATAAACATGGTTAACAAAAATCATGCTAATTTTTGGAATATAAAATCCATATCCTCCAATCTTGGAAATCAATAGGATAATCACCTATGATGGTTTCCATGAGCAGGAGATAATGCCTGGTATACCACTTGCCCAAAGCTCACCTCAAAATTCACTTTGCCCATAGAGACAGCATGAAAGTGTGGGTCTCTTGCTGACTTTGTTGTTGTTGCCATCACCATGCTAGCACTTGGTGCTTAAAAACCCATTTAAGTTGTTACAATATGGAATCAAGTATGTTTATTACTAGGACTGAACTATATTTTTGGTGTACCCTGAATTTAAATTAAAGTCCAAGGAACACAGAGGCATTCTCTCTCTCTCTCTCTCTCTCTCTCTCTCTCTCTCTCTCTCTCTCTCTCTCTCTCTCTCTCACACACATACACACACACACACACCCCTAGACTTAACTACTTTTTACTTTAGCAATAGACTTTCCAGGATTTCTTTAACCAAGAGAAGGCATGAGCGTTCCTAAACTTTTAGAATTTGAGAACCCCATGTTCAACTCTTTAAATAACACATATTTTTAATTTTATCAAAGTGACTGTTTTTGTCTCTGTGCACTGTTTTCTGTTGCATGGGCATTTTAATGTGTCTATAGATCCCAACCATTAGTCCTTTCCCATTCTTCTACCAAATGGAGAAGAACTATTGAGTTGATGCAAAGTGAGACAAAATCATCTCCCTCTACCTATCTCACAATTCAAGGCTCCTATGTGGGGAGATGAACCATCCCTGAGTGGATTGGTCATCACATGGATCAATTCAGCCTTGACCCTGTCCACTCACTGATCAAATCAAATTATAAAAATGTCTTTTAAACATCCATCTATGTACAGTCTAGAGAATGAAGGGCCCATTCTTTACAGTAATCGTTGATGAGTATAGTTATTTTAAGATTAAAAATAACTTACAAGAGGATGGTTAAACGATGCTAGACATTAAATTCAAGTGTTAACCTTGCCACACAGAATTGTGATTTCGAGATTATGAAGAATGAAAATGTTCCGAGGAAAAATGCGTGGGTAAGTGTTTGTGTGTGTACAAAATAAAAGAACTTAGATTCACTGGCATCACCGGTGAAACCAGAATGCTTAGAAAGAGCCAAATGTGTCTTTGGGAGAGTTTGTTTAATCAGATGCTTAAAATAAGACAGGTCTCTGCATGAGACCTAGAAATCTCCTAGGAACAGCCAGATTTCACACTGAGTCTCAGTGGAGTTCTGGGCTGGGCTGCGTTTTGGAGAAGGAAATGCGGGTGCTGAGAGCTAAGTAGCCAATTACTCTTTATAGCCACATAAGGACTGGAGGCAAGTGGGCCCTTCCAACAAGTTGTATTATGCGATCACGGGCTTTGCAGGGGATCTCACGAATGTATAACCTTCTGATTGCCTTTTTGATTGAAAGTTCCATCTGAGATCAGGGCAGTGCAAGCAGTAATAAGATTTCAAAAATTCCCATCACTGGCACTGTAGGAAAGGCTGAGCATGACTGAAATCCTATTATTGTCAGTCAAAAAGATAAGGTAACAGTGGGCATCGCTATAAAAGCTATATAAATGCACAATTTAAACAGGAAATATCAACATTGAACATATGTGTGTGTATGTGTACACACACACATACACATATGCCCAATTGAGTTACCAGGGATTAATTTGTAATTTTTTTTGTCTCACAATATCACACACTACCCCAAACCCGGAATGGTGGCTTTTTGTTTTTCTGACTGTAACCTTGAATTTGAAAGCCATTGGATTGAGGGTAAAGGGTTTTTAATGCAGGTTTCTATTTGAGAACAAAATAGTGGCTCATAATACCCGGGATTAGAATTAAATGTATCATGTTGTGAAACTGGACTTAGATGTTTGTATGTGCTTCTGTTGTTTTTTCTGGAGAAAATAGTTGTAGAATGTATTTTGTAGGAAATAGTTTTCATAATATTTTTATTTTCCTCAATTACAGTACTGTTCTATTTGTGTACAAAGTTTCTTAGCAAAGTGACTCATTTGGCCAGACAGTGTTGCATATATTGTCAGTGCAATCATTGTTCTTTATGAAGGTAGAAGACAGAGATTCTATCATAACCAGACGTTAATTTTTATTATTTTCTTCTTAGTCAACACACATTTATATATTACAGGGTATACTGGTTTTCACATGAATACACTCTTGATATTAAAGATACTTTAGTTCAAGTATTTTTGACTCAATCCTAGTATTATGGGCTCATGCAATTTAACGCCCCCTCCCAACTTGATGGATTATCTAAAAGGAAACAATTGTGTCTCCTACATATATCAAGCATTAACCAGCTCAGGAATTCATCAATAGAGTCATATAGAAAGATTCAGTAGGATGGCATCTCCAAACCTATTTCCTTTATTTATAACATGGAGATAATAAATTTCATCTAAAACAAATCATTAAAACATTCTTCATCAAGGGTCTTATGAAGCATTCCAACTTGGTTTAAACTTACAGTCGCCTGATATTAAAGCCCCATAGCTTGTGACTATAGAACACTCTCGGTAATTATAACGTGAAGCTTGTAATGGTAAGAAATAGAAGCTCAGTTGTCCACAGTGATGCAGAAGAACTGAAGAGGAAGTAAGTGATTTTGAATGGGAAGACCCAAGACCCAAGACACCTTCATGGAGTTTTCATAAAAGATGGGAACTGAGGACTGGGTGCCATAGAAATCTGAGCTTTGCAAACAACCAACACTAAGAGGGAAAACTGAGAAAAAGCACGATGTTTATACATGAATGACACCTTTCCAAGCAATCAGAAAGAGCCAGAATATGGGTGCTCATACGTCCCACATAGGTTTGCCTAAATCGTAGCATGTTTGTGGATGAAAAAAAAAATAATGTTCAGAGATGTCTGAAGGAATTTTTCAGAGTTCAGTGACACATCCCATACATGAGAGAGACAGACATTGAACTCTGATCTTCTAGCTCACAACCAAGGTAAGACACTAAATATTGTGTGTGTGTGCTCCTGCTCCATTATTTCCGGAAGTGTCATTTACGTCTCAAGGCCAGTAGGCATTTTTTGGAGGAATCAGTGTCTATGGTGCTCTTTTCCCCAACATGAGTTACGGGACATTATCTGACTCACATCTTGAATGTAAGTATTACCTCTTGTGGGAATCTTTCTTAATGGTAATAGTTCTCTTTATCATTATCCACAGATGACAGAAGAAGGGTTGTTAGGAGGAATAACACAGGATGTGAGTAACCTCACAGGGTGATCTGATCATAAGTTCCTAACTGGGAAGGTCAATGATGGGTAGCCATGCCCAAGCATAGAATGTCTCAACATCACAACTCATTCCAGTGCTTACTTTGCAATAGTCCCTGAGTCATGTTTTACTAGGCCATATATGCAGCATGTTACCTTAAGGGGCCTTACCCAATTCTCTTGTTTCCTTGCATAATTTGGATGAAGTTCTCTTAAGGGTCTGATTAGCCTTTGCCACCGGAATTTCCTGATGAATGAGGTCTCATTAAGCAATACCCACCTGACTCTTAAGGCTTTGGTAACATCTTTTGTAATCAGAGAGACAAATGCTGGCCCACTGCCACTCTGTAAAGATTGGGGAGCCTGCAATTAGGAATTTTTTCCTTCAGTAGAGAAGGTGCTAAGAGGTTCCTGAAATTGCCTGGTGCTTTAGGCATGCCAGTGAAGTCCATGCCAGTCTTCCCCACGGTGTGTTCCCCTCATTATTTGGCCTCATCCTGGAGACTGAGGGAGGCTGAGTATTCAGGTTATTGGCATTGCTGGTTGGGCAAGCTTTCACTACCCGGTCAATTGGAACTGTCATACCTAGAGTTTCCATGGTGTTGATTAGCCCAAGTAGAATGGAGAAAGCATACCGGAAGTCCGTATAGGTGTTCAGGGTCATCCTCTTCCCAATTCTAGGGCCATAGTGAGGGCTAGTAACTCAGCCTTTTGAGGGGAGGCAGGGCCCCTGCTCCTACAGTTTTATTTAGGGTGGCAGTTGTATAGCCTGCCCCCCTCTTACCTTCATTTTTGAAGCTACTTCTGTCAGTAAGCCATGCTTCCTCCACCCTTGGAAGGGGCTCACTTTCCAGGCCTGGCTGGTGGGAGTATATTGTATCTATTATTTCTAAGCAATGATGTTCCAGGCTTCCCAGCTCAATTGGGAGTAGAGTGGCCGAGTGCAAAGGGTAGCATGTTTTTATGGTGACCACTGGGTTGTCTAGAAGCATGGCCTGAACCTGGATTAGTCTCCCAGGTGGCAATCATTCTGTCCCCTAGGGTTTATCAGGGCTTGAACCTGGTGTGGGGTCCAGATGGTTACAGGTTGTCCAAAAGCCAAGCTTTCTGCCTCTTTTAAGAGAGTGTCTGTAGTAGCAACCTCCCAAAGTCAAGGAGGCCATCCTTATGCTGTCTGATCTAATTGTTCAGAAAAATGAGCAATTACCTGGGCCAGAGGTCTTAACTTCAGAGTTAAGACACCTCTTCCCACAGTGCTATTTCCTGTTTCACTGGAGGCTTTGTGAAATCTGGGAGACCCAAGGCTGGGGCCTGAAGTAGCTGTCTCTTAGTTCCCAAAAAGCCTTTTCACATTCTGAGTTGCATTCAAATAGTTCACCATCTTTCCCTTTTAAGCCTTCTAGAGAGGCTTGGCTATGAATGCAAAATTAGGGATTCACATGAGGGAACCTGAACATTCCCAAGAACCCTTTAACTTGCTTCTTTAAAAATATATATATATAGATATAGATACAGATATAGATAGATTTCAGAGAGGGAGAGAGAGATAGAAACATCAATGAAAGAACATCATTGATCAGCTGCCTACTGCACGGCCCCTACTGGGGATCGAGCCCACAACCCGGGCATGTGCCCTGACTGGTAATTCCTTAGATTAGAAGGATTAGCAATCAATATGTCATCTGTACCCTGAAAGAGTGTATCCCCCTCCAAGTGTAGGCCCCTTAAGTCTTCGGCCAGGGCCTCACCCAGAGAGTCTAATACCGGCAACACCGACTCCTTTTCTTCGAGGGTGGCGAGCGTGGACCCTAACTTGCACTGCTTTGGAGATCCTTACTTTCACGCAGAGCCATAGAAATCGGAACCTAGGAAATCAGGTCCCATTTCTTTGGCAAAACAAGTCTACCTGGAGGATTGCGTTATAATTTAGGGAGCTGTTTGTGGCTCATGGTTCCCATCTTCTAATTTATATTGGGACCAGGCCATGTTACAGGAAAAAGACCAATTGTTTCTTAGTTTGGATGATAACTGAACGATTTTCTGTGTTTGGGGATGCAGCCCTGGGGGCTATCAGTATGGCAGGTGACCTGTGAGTCCCCATGCCTTAGATCAGTGGTTCTCAACCTTCTGGCCCTTTACATACAGTTCCTCATGTTGTGACCCAACCATAAAATCATTTTCGTTGCTACTTCATAACTGTAATTTTGCTACTGTTATGAATTGTAATGTAAATATCTGATATGCAGGATGGTCTTAGGCGACCCCTGTAAAAGGGTCGTTCGACCGCCAAAGGGGTCGCGACCCACAGGTTGAGAACCTCTGCCTTAGATCTTTTGTTCTGAATTTGCCTTCAACAAGGAGGTTCTTACGATTTCTGGGCAAGCAGATGCTGCAGGATCTAACCCATTTCATTTATTTATTTGTTTACTTTTTGGTGTTAATCCTCACCTGAGGATATTTTTCCATTGATTTTTAGGGAGAGTGGACGAGAGGCAGAAAGACAGAGAGAAACATCGATGTGAAAGAAACACATCGGTTGGTTGCCTTCTGCAGGAGCCCAGGACCAGGGTCGGGGCTAGAGCCTGCAACCAAGGTACGAGGCCCTTGATCGGAATCAAACCCAGGATCCTTTGGCCCGTACGCCGACACTATCCACTGAGCCAAACCATCTAGGGCAGATCTAACCCATTTTAAATGTTTCCTATCTGGGAAGGCTGGCATTCACACCGGATGGCTTATGGATGTCGGGGTTGAATTCACAGAGGTGGTCATGGGAACCCAGGGTTACTGGATTGCCTGGTAGGGTTTTCTCAGAACAAACCTCTTCCTCATCTTCACCCACAGCTAGCATGTGGATGCACTCATGCTTAAGTGTGGTGGGCACTTAGATAGGAGCAGAGCGAGGACAAGGACAATGAGCCAGCTAAAGGCCACCAGCTGGAAAGCCCCAGGTGCCTGGCAAAGGACAATTGTAGGGTGGGACCTCGCCTCAGGCTGACCTTTCCTCCCTAGAGATAACATCTAGGCCTCCGTAGCATTCCAGCTCCTGGCCCAAATAAACCCAGATAAACAACAAAAGCAGCCAAGGCTGACCTCAGAATCAGCTGCCTTGAATAATGACCCCTGCCTGGTGCACGCCCCTCAATCAGTGAAGATCACCACCCTGAAAGGACACACTTGGAAAGCTGCTGAATATTCGATTGAGATTACCTGGGACCGCCCCTAAGTCTCCACCCTTAAAACCCATAGGATGGAGGGCCGGACTCTGCCTCCCCACCCCCACCCGCCACTCCCCAGCCACTAGGGCCCTTTACCTGTAGAACTT